AGAATATGAAGCAATTCGTATTATCACCACTAAACGCCTGTAGAATCAATAAAATAAAGCTGATCACCCGATGCCTCTGCCAATCCTGTATATGAAACCGTAGTTTTATTTTCTATATAAGACGCTGGCCGGAGGTGACTGTACACTTTGAAATACGCCTTATCCGCTGCTTTCTTATTCTTTTTATTATCCTTGGCCTTCCTGTCTGCAATAGGCCGATTCGCATCCTTTACACGCAGTATACCACTATTCCCAAGGCGTTGAACCTCTCGCTTAGTCTTTTTACGGCTTCGGGATGCCTGCGCGGCCTCAATTCGCTTAAGAGTTGATTAAATTCATGACAGCAAGCTATTCAGATTGAAGCTTTTGCTGATGAAATAAGCAGTTAAGATAGCGCTTAATACAAGGACTATCTGGTATATTATTATTTAGAAGCTTAAATAGCTTCTTCTGATTCTTTTCAATATATTGAGCACTTTTTGGAGGTATATTTTCAAGACTTGAAGAGAGATAATATAGAGGCAGTGTAGACTATAGATTTCTTTTCTTTAAAGATAAAGAGTAGAATTATAATCCAGCTATCTACAGTAATATACTTAAGTGTAGTAATATTATCTGTATACTCAGTTTTAGAAAGATTAGAAACTCTTTCTTTTATATTAAGATTTTTTTTTAAGACTTTTTACTATCTGATTAAAAGCTGTATTATCAAAATTATACACAAGACAAGTAGGGATATTTTTAAGTGAGTTAGTAAGCTGATTATACCAGAACTGAAACTGTCTAATATTCTCTGTATCTAAGTGCTTTTTCTTCTTTGGTCTTCAAATTACAGAACTTAATTTAAGGTTAGAAGAAAGACTTTTAGTAAAGTAATATATCTATAATTGGCTGACACTTTGTGTAGGATTATCTTACTGTATAGTAAGATTTGTCCATTCTAAAAGCAATAATATAGTTATCGGAGGATAAATATTATATACTTTAGTAATTTATTGTCTTAAGATAGCTATTTGATACTGATCTAGTACTTTATTTAGTATAGTTTGATCTGTACAAGGCTTTCTCCTATTATAGATGCGGCCGTGGAGTGTACAATAAGGAACCCCGAATTCTCGTGTAATCTTTGCGATATTAGGAATTTTTTCAAGACAGGTAATTTCAACGGCCTTATCTACACGTAAATCTAAATTTTTAGACGTTTTGGGTATTTATTATGGTTTGTATAGCTTCAAAATGGTAGGAAATTGATTATCTTCCTTTAGGCTGCCGACCCCCCACCAGCGGAAGGCGGTGGGTGGGTGGTCGGAACCGCCACTGATACTGGATTATGTCAAACAAAAGGCGTAGGGCGTACGGAGTACCACTAAAAGCGATAGCCAGTGGGGTCGAACCCAACTACGAATTATTTAAACTGTAGAGATCCTTCCGAGTCGCAAATTCCACGACATTTCTTGACAATTGACGAACCAAGCGCTTCGCAAGCCAAACATTAGACATCATAATGTCTGACCAACCGACCATTAGACTCGCGACGCCCGAAGGTGAGTACCAGACGTTGTCAACGTTTTATGCCCGAATGCCGCTGTCCGCGGAGGTTCCGCCCCGCATAAATAAATCTGAAAAATGCCGGACTAACCCTAGCCTGCGGTTCAGACGTCCCCATAATCCTCCAATTTATCCGTGAACTAGCCGACTACGAAAAAGCCCTTCATGAAGTAGAGGCCACCAATGAATCCCTCCTTGAAACCCTCTCCTTTCCCGACAGCCCTCCTAAACGAGGCTCCGTATATACCGCGCTCATCACTCCCCCCGCCACCCCGGACAATGCCACTCCCATCCCCGTAGGCATGGCTCTATTCTTCTATAACTACTCAACTTGGCGCTCGGCGCCGGGTATCTACCTGGAGGATCTCTACGTGCAGCCCGCTGCTCGTGGTAGGGGATATGGGTTCAAGCTGTTGAGATATCTGGCGGCTAAGGTGCTGGAGGTTAAAGGACGCCGGCTGGAGTGGAGTGTGCTCAAGTGGAACGAGCCCAGTATCAAGTTCTATGAGCAGGTCGGGGCGAAGGGTATGGAGGAGTGGATGAAGATGATGGTTGAAGGGGATGCATTGACCAAGTTAGCAGAGGGACTATGATACATGAAAAATCAAGATTTTAGATAATACTTAGTATATAAATGCTAATATTCATGCTATATTTAACTGGTGGTTCAGTGGTGAAATTGTCATCGGGGATGTTAAGGATGAACTTGATTTTAAGACTAATATTGTTGGTAAATAACCTGTGCTAAAAGACTAGGGAGGATCCTCTTTACCTCTATGTCCTCAATGCCCAGATGGCGCGAATGATATGCGCTGTTTAGACGCCATCCTTGTGGCACTCTAGAAAAAACTCCCACACATCAAATGAGGCAGCAGTTGTAGTCACAAAGATAAATGTAGCTTGGAAAGAGATGTGAGACAAAGTATAGACTAAGAAAGCATATACATACCTGTACTTGGCACAGAGCCAACAAATACAGCACCATAGGATGGATCCAAGTAAAACAGTGGTCAAGGACTCCCCTGGCAACTGAACCCTTATATAGAGGCTATCCACAGGTACTTGAATACTTCTATATTGTCAAGGAAATATCTACTATTCAGGGTAGAAGACCTGTCAACTAGGTAAGGGTACGTAGGCAGAAAGCTAAGCAGTGGATATCAGGCAGACAGAAGACTGATTCTTGCCTCCTTCTTCTATTGATATCAGGCTAACTTTATATCCAGAAGAAACCCCTTATTCTTCTAATAAGATAAGACTAACAAGGAGCTACTATACGCTATTGAAAAGTCAACGGATATGTGATCTGTTGTCGCTGTTCGGCCTCCGTTCTGTATATGCACAACGGGCAGGGTATATAATACAGTCATCATGCAGAGTCATCATCGGATCTGTGACGGTAGACTTCTTAGAAGTAATTATTTGGGCTAGAGCTCTATGTCTCCTACACTAACCTAAAGAAGTATAAGATATATTGCCAGGGCCCAATATTCCACAAGACCAAAGATCATATAATTCTGAATCTACAATATGGAATACCCTGGTCAGACCTGTATGGCTCCCCGCCGTTACAAGAAGATATATATATTGTCATTTCGCTATTATACTATACTCTTAACTACTTTAAATAGAGAAAATAATTAGATTCACTATGCAATAACCTTATCTAGCTATACTTATATTGAGTCAAATTTATATAGGGATTCTGAAATGAGTAAGATCAAGGTTATAAGTACTTCTGAAGGTATACTTATTTGATCATCTATAAAATAGTTTACATAGTATTTTCTAATACCATTTTATATAATAGGAGATACTCAAACTATCAACGCCCGGATGGTCTAGTGGTATGATTCTCGCTTTGGGTTA